ACCGTTTCGCCGGTCTGGTTACGACCGGTTTTTCTCTGTTGAACTGTTCTTCTACACGACACGTCCGTCTCAGTCTCTTTCTAGCGGCGGCTGGAGCTAGTTAGTGTACTGCGCTGTTTTTTTTCACAAGTAAGTGTTGTTATATCGGAGCGTATAATCCTGTACTATTAAGCTCTGCCGTGATTTGCTGATAGTTATCACCTGCCAGATCGACGACACCAACCTCCCAGGACAACACCCAAGACACAACACACAGCATCTTCAGCTAGTCCATTTTGCTGCGGGAAATGTCTAGCTACCGCTCCCCAGACAAAGAGGGCATGTTGCAAAAGATATATGTGCTAAATTCTGAGATATAAAAGTAGAGGTAGATCCTTTATTTGGCAGACCCCGATAAGATAAAGGCTGTGGGATGGACCCTCCTACCATGATGAATCTGATTAAGAAAAAGGCTTGCTGTTCGGGCCTTCAGACCCTGATAAGAAAAAGGCAAAAACCCCAGCTTTAGGGCCCTGTATAAAGTTGCACCCATTGAAGAAAAAATGTTTGCTGATAGGCTGCATATAGAGATAATGGAAAGGCTTGCTGCAATCACTGTTTAGATGTAAAAATCCTGAACAAGCGTGCCTGTGCAGCTACCAAGGCCGCTTATAAAGCAACCCTCAAAATATGGAAACCAGTTTGTTTCGGGAGTATCAGCCTCACACCGTAGGGATCAGGTGCAGTGTTCGGGACTATCATTGCGTCACACTGTAGTGGCCAGGCTGGCAGCATTTGGGAGTGTAGGCGTCCCCATCACAGTAACAGGCTAAGGTCTCAGCAAAAGTATCACACGCGACACCAAACTAAAGAGCAGTGACAAGAGACCTGCAAGGCTAGATCAGTTTGCAGCAGCCTAACCAACTGACGATTGAACCAGTGTTATAGGAGTGTTAACGCCAACTGCTAGCTGACGTCTAAAGGTTTTGTTGAACTCAGGAAGAGTTCAAGTCCCTGCATGCTGGTGTACGCAGATACCACTGAGTGAGCAGAGTGGAAAAGACCGTGGGAGCACTGGCAGTGACGACTGAGTTGCAAAGCCTTACAAATACGCAGGAGAAACATGCAGCGGTTTGCTGGCCAGCGCTAAGCTGATTAAGTCTAGTACACTTAACAGAACACATTGACTTTGGAGAAAAGGATGCCACACTAGTTTGACAGAAGCCCTACTTTTATGAGGCAGCCTAAATGGATGTGTTTCTACCTCCTTCTCATCACCATTTGGCCACACGACTTCTCTAACTATCGTGCTTGCCACATCATTTATGCGCGATTACTAAGTGGCCCCTCCACCGCGCCCCCGTTTCCTCCCCCCTACAGATCGTGCAAGCGCTGACCTCTCCGACACTGAGACGCCGGGAAACAAGTATCCATAGCTCGCGGACCGCAGCACAGATTGTTCTTTTACTCCCCCACTAGAACCGCTTCCTATACATGACCCCTGGCTCTTCCCCTCAACGCACCTATCACCACTCCCATAACTGGCCCTCGCATTCGCCTATCGCCCCCAACATACCTCTCTCCGAAACCTGGTCGCATATCTATCGCTATCTAAATCCCCCCATCCTCCTTTTTACCCCATTTTTCTTCCCTCTATCCTGCTAGCCCCCCAATCCTTTCCATTCCCCCACTCCTCCAAATCTCACCCCCTTCATCACTAGGGCATTGTTGCTCAAGAAGTGCCTATGGAGGCTGGCAGTAAAATGAAGAAGGTAAGATGCTGCTTCCACAGTAACCTTTCTCTGGCTGGGAGTGTGGGTTGTGTTTCAGATGGGACAGTTTCTGATAAGGGACCTGCCCAGTCTAAGATGTGGGAGTGCTCAAAGCAGTGCAACCCACTAAGTGAATTTGAGGTCAATGCCATTGTTTGTTTAGGACAGCTTTTGAGCAGCCTGTTGAGAAAGTGAGGCAGCCTGGCTGAATGTGATATGGGTTGCCCCTATAGTCACTACACCAAATTAGTGGGTATGACATTTATTGTAGTGATGAGATTGGACGAAACAGCAGGCAATAGGAAGATGACCAAGAAGGTCATTGAGCATTTGGATAAACTGAACGCTGACTGAACATGACAGCTGGGTTGGAAGCCAAACTGTCTCTTGCAGTTGGTGCACGAGTCATGCTACGTCGCAATATTGACACCAAGGCTGGGCTGGTCAATGGTGCTATTTGTACAGTGCTGTCAATAGCAGCCCAGCATGTGACAGTGCAGTTTGATAATTTACCTGCTCCATGTAAGATTGATAAGGTCAGAAGCAGGTTCATGGTGATGAAGAAGTTCTATGTGTATCGTAGACAATTCCCTCTCATTTTAGCCTATGCAATTACCATCCACAAGTGTCAGGGTCTGTCATTAGACTATGCCATAGTAGACCTGTCTGAGGAGGTATTCAGTGATGGAATGGCATATGTGGCTCTATCCAGGGTTAGGTCACTAGATGGTCTGTTCCTAACAGCCTTTAATCCCCAGTCCATCAGTGTTAGTGTGAGTTCCCTGGGGGAAGTAAACGCCTCAGAAAAACCCATAGACCTGATCTTCCTCTGTATGATATACCACACATCTCTAGAAAGAAAGAGGAAGCTCACTGGTGTAGACAAAACTGTTTCCCCAAGTGTAAAAAAGGTCAAGGTGAATCCCTCATCTGCAAGGGATAATGAGGACTGTGTTATTACAGGTACAGAAACACCTGCTGCTAGTCCTTTCAATTTCCACTCTGTAGATGTACAGTGGCAGCAAAGTGCATGCCAAGAGCTGGGCCTCCAATATTGTACACAAACACCAGTAAGACCAGGAGGACCCGCTGTCCCCCTCACACGTCCAGACATGCGTAGTGTGAGACGCGTACAGGGAGATGGTAACTGCCTCTTTCGAGCATTTTCTTACATTCTGACAGGGTCTGAGATCAGCATATGGGTGTACGACATGCTATCATTGACCACATGACAAATAATGCCCAATATTTCCTAGGCCACCATCTCGTAGGCTATGACAGTATTCAAAGTTATATAGCTTCCACAGGTATGGACCAAGACGGCACCTGGGGAACTGACATTGAGGTGCTGTCTTTGGCACACCTGCTCCAGACCCCTGTCTTCTCATACAGCCAGCAGCATGGGCAGTGGCAGCGGTACTCTCCTCATGATGTCGACAGACAACTGATGGATGACATTCACCAGAGGTCTATGTAGCTATCTATTGCACACAGGAAACCACTTTAATGTTGTTGGTTCTATAAGGAAGAGTTAATGAAGCCACATGTGCTCATATAGACTATACATGGGCTCTCGAGCATGTTGGGGAAGGAGAGGGTGGGTCCCTGCAATTTATTGAGGTGGGCTTCCCCATTTCATGCTATAACCACTGTAGAAAGTGTAAGAATCCGTATTTACATGTCCTGATATCATGGTACATGGTCTTTCTGAACATGTTGGGGAAGGAGAGGGTGGGTCCCTGCAATATATATAGGTGGCTTCCCCATTTAATGCTATAACCACTGTAGAAAGTGCGATTTACATGTCCTGTACATGACTTCTGAACATGTTGGGGAAGAAGAGGTGGGTCCCTGCAATTTATTGAGGTGGCTTCCCCATTTCATGTTCTAACCACCCTCCTAAAGTCTCAGACTTCATGGAGCTGACTGGTTTCAAGTGTAGGGAAACTGCACTGTCTTTACCACAAAGTTTTAGGGGACTGTAACTGCATCACAAAGTTGGGGTAGCACACTGTTAGAGGTGAATGTCTGTACACTGAATTGTGTTGTATGCCAACAGTAGTGAGTAATCCCTCAGGAGACTGGTCTTAACTCTGACAGAATATTACCCTCCTCCCTTGAGGAGTACACTCTACAGTCAGTAGCTATGCCTGTCGGGGTACTACTACATTGAAGTTACACACTACTCACCTAAACATCAGTGCACATAACTATTGTATGCAGTATATCAGCACCCTTCCTACATGCACCTTCACATGACAAGTAGCCACACATTTTTTTATACAGAGCAAAAGAAAGAAAGATGTAGGGATGGATGTACGATTTTTGCTGTCGGCTGAAGCATCTTCTTGTTGGCATCCTTTTTCATAATTTACACCATCCCTACATCCCCCTTCATTTTGAAGAAATTATTTTTCCACTTGTACTAAGTACTACCGTACTTAGTGATAGGGATGGTACCTAGCATCATAGATGTATGGGGCTATGATAGGGAGTTTTGTTCATCTTCTCCTTCTCCTTCCCCTTCTCCTTCTCCTTCTTCAGATTCAATACCCATAACTCAAAAACAAAACAATAATAAAATTTTGTAAGAATGTAGATATCCATCACCCGAAGAGACTGGTCATACTTATTTCTTTGTAAACAACATTGTTTACTGTTAACAACAACAAATAGCCCAAGGCAATACATTATAATGGGATCACATGTGTCAGTATAACTCACAAATGGTAACGAAACTTTGTAGAAAAAATGTATTCAATTACCAACATCATAATCACAACAATACATGTTTGTAAATAACAACAACTAGCCTCAGCCACTTTTCTTAATTTAGACGTCGGCAGATTCAAATTGACCAATCAGATTGCGTAAAACGTGGATTCTAAATCCCGTATTTTCCAAGTGCGTGTTTCCATGGAGACGCCCGCCAAAAAATGGCGTCTTCGATGGGGGTGTGGCAAGCTTCCGCGCAAAGAAACTCGCTCTGTCGCTGAGAGCTCGCCGCGACGACTTCAAACTCGCTATATCCGATGCTTCTTCGATGAAAGGCCTCTCTAAGATGCAAAAAGAAACTAAACTGAAGACCTTTTTAGCTTCCCCCGGCAAGAGCGAGTCTTTCGGAAGACGGCGGACCTGGACGATTTTGAAGGCCGGCATGGCCTCCGTCTAAACAGGTTATACTGCTTGTCAATGGAAATACACGATTTAGACGGCCTCGGAGCCCTTAGTAGCGTCTTCGCTGCGCTCAGACAGCTACAGCCCAGGGCCCCTCGTGCCGTCTAAATCGCGTATTTCCATTGACGCGCAGTATAACCTATATATATTTTACTTCTTCACTCCTCAAACTTTCCAATGGTAGCACGAATAGAGATCAAACTTGGTATGTCTGCCTATTATATCATTCCCATGACAATTACATGTTTCCATGATGACTGCATTTTGTTTGAAAAAACCTCAGGCAATTTTCTTTAAAACCACTTCTTCACTTCTCAAACTTGCTAACTGTAGCACGCATGGAGGTGAAACTTGGTGCGCATGTGTATTGTATCATTTCCATGATGACCACAACAACAAATAGCCTCAGGCAATTTTCTTTAAAATTACTTCTTCACTCCTCAAACTTGCTAACGGTATCACACATGGAGATGAAATTTGGTACGCATGTTTGTAACATCATTTTCCATGACGACCACAAAGACAAATAGCCTGAGGCACTTTTCCTTAAAATTACTTCTTCACTCGTAAAACTTGCTAACTGTAGCACGCATGGAGATGGAACTTGTTACACATGTGTATTACATCGTTTCCATGACGACCACAACAACAAATAGCCTCAGGCACTTTTCTTTGGAATTACTTCTTCACTCCTCAAAATTTGCTGACTGTAGTACGCATGGAGGTGAAAATTAGTTTACATGTTTATTACATCGTTTCCATGACGACCACAACAACAAATAGCCTGAGACACTTTTCTTTAAAATTACTTCTTCCCTCCTAAAACTTGCTAACTGTAGCACACATGGAGATGGAACTTGGTACGCATGTGTATTACATCGTTTCCATGATGACCACAACAACAGGCATTCTTTAGAATTACTTCTTCAATCCTCAAAATTTGCTAACTAGCACGCATGGAGATGAAACTTGGTACACATGTGTGTAACATGGTTTCCATGATGACCACAACAACAAATGTATAGCCTCAGGCACTTTTCTTTAAAATTACTTCTTCACTCCTCCAACTTGCTAACAGCAGCACACATGGAGATAAAACATGGTATGCATATCATTTCCATCACGACATCTGGCATTTTTTCTCTATTATTAATTTTTATAGGGGCTTGCCCCCTTCCACAGAGATAATACGTAGTAGTATATAAAAATGAGTGGAGACAAGGAAATAAAAAAATCCTGCGAATTTAAAAAAAGAGGCATATAGGGATGGTATAAAAAGAAAGGGAGGCAAGATAGGGATTAGATACATGAAGCATTGTTAATGAACAGATTTGAGTACACTGACACCCCCAACCCCATCACACATGGTGACATGGTGAAAGAATGCTTGCTTTTAGTAACCTTTAAGAGTAGCACACCAGGCAACAATATAGGGATGGTGTGATGGGGTTGGGGGTGTCAGCGTACTAAAATCTGTTCATTAACAATGCTTCATGTATCCAATCCCTATCTTGTCTCCCTTTCTTTTTATTCCATCCCTATATGCCTCTTTTTTAAATTCGCAGGATTTTTAATTTACTTGTTATATTTTACAAACTCAACAATTCATAGATACTTACTATTACTTCTGTGCAAGGTAGCTAACACTCCTTAGCCGCAGTTGAAAGTAGGTATCTGAGAGATTTTACAGTGGTGAATGGTTGCTCTAGCAGGAGGCCCCGAGCCCCAGAGGTTGTTAGGCATCAGAGAACATGAGTAGAGAGTGTTGGGAGAGAAGGCAGTGGCAGTGAGGCTCCCAGACTGGGAGGAGGGGGACTGGGGGAGGGAGGAGGGGGAGTAGGAGCAGGGGAGGGTGTAGTTATCAATGGCTCAATGGAGAGAGTTACGTGTGGAGACCAGGGGAACACCACATGTCTCTCTCCAGCTACTGCCTTGAATATTTCTGGAGCATTCGTGGGAGCTATGTCCAGAGGAATGTTTTTGGATAGGAAGAAAAACATACCTTTCAGTGTAAACACTCTCGTTACCTAATCATTGCATGGCTTGTTATTAGCCACAGTACAGTTGTAGAGTCCAGGCAGTCTTCCCGTCACAGTCAGTGTGGGTGTACTGTGCAGTCACTGGGTCATTCAACACAGTCTGGGTTCCTTGGGTGACAGTGGTGGAGTCTCTGGTCCAAGTGACAGTAGTAGCAGGTCCACCAGTGGAGATACAGGCCAGGGTGAACTGAGCACTGGCTCCATTGAGGTCTGAAACCTCCGAGTAGACTATATCTCCTGATATTTCAACATCTCCTGCAATAATAGTTGTGATAGTCACTGTCCTTTATACCATGCAGACCCATGCATGACATAACTCTAACATAGTTACTTCATTTGCCATATACAGTCCCACATAGACTGTGTCTCCCATTGATATGTCACTATCATCATGGACAGCATTAGTTGGAATGTCACAGCGATAGATACCAGTTGGTGAGTTAGCACCACGGTTACGACATAATATGTCAACTCCCTGAGATACACGAGTCTCATAGGTATGAACATCAGATGCAGGGAAAGGCAGTCTAGTTCCATCGGGGAAATACCAGTCTCCACGATGACCACCATCAGGTATAGTGCAACATGTGGCCAGGTCAGTACGACACGGAACACCTTCACCACCATTAGGAATGTCAGGTCTCCCCACTAGACTGAGGTCCACATAGGAATGGTTGGCCAAGAGTCTGGCCCATGAAGGAGACATAAGGAAAGGTCTGAGAGTGAGCCTCCACCAGAGACCAGAGGAGACTCAGTAGTAGCACTGACTTATTCATACCGGCATACCGCAAATGCAGGCACATACACATGCAACACCGACCCAGAATAAAAATTTAAAAAAGGAAAAAAAAAGAAATAAAAAAGGAAAAAAAGGAAAATATTATTCAAATTGCGCATGCGCATGATGTAACACCCGCCGAGTGTGTGTGCGCACACCGCCAGCATTGTAGCTCGTGGGGGGGGAGTGGGGGAGTGGGGGCCTAACTTTTCAGCAGTCTTGGTAGCCAGTCGACGATTCTTGAGGACCAGAGCTGCAATAGCTACAACAGCAACGACAATGATGAGTACAATAGCCACAGCAACCCCTCCAACAATGGCGGTAGTACTGTCACTGCCTGCAGTCATACTGGGAGGTAGAGTTTGGGTGAGAGAAAGTTTAGGTTCATTGGGCGGTGGGGAAGGTTTAGAGCACTCTGGACCACTGAGAGAGAGATGGCCACTGAACACTGTGAGTCTACAGTCATCAGTACTCCAGTCACAATAACACTGGCCCCGCCTCCTGTCACCCAGGCCTCTATCAGAGAGATGAGGGAGCTACTGTCTGTCTCAGAGGTCCCCTCCAGTCTGGCTTGACAGGTGAGGAATGATGGAGACTCCTCAAAACAGGCAAAAGACTGTCTGTCTGTGATGGCATCACTAATGCCACAGTCCGGACAAGAGGCGTCCAGCTGATGCACAATTTCAGCTTTAATGTCTTCTTGCTTCTGCTTTGCCTACAAAGAGTTTACTTCAAAGGGTACATGTTTAAAATATACATTCACTTACTATCACTTCAGAGCATAGCAAAACTCCTTTGACCTGCAGCTGAAAGGGATTATCTGACGAATTGAAAAGAGTAGCACATTATTTAACATTACAATTAGGTTTCTTGCTGGGTAGTGAAAGTGACAACAGCAGGAGGACCAGATCCCCGACTATTGTTAGCAGTCAGAGAACATGAGTAGAGAGTGTTGGGAGAGAAGCTAGCCACTGATAGAGAGCCAAAGGACTGTGAGGAGGGGGACTGGGGGAGGGAGGGGGAGCAGGAGAGAGTAGCTGGTGATGACTCCATTTTGCTGAGAGCCCACTGATTTGGGCAAGTCTCTAGTCAGTTTTTTCCTTTCTCTGGAGTGTGCCACTCTCCCCATACCTTCCACCAAGAGAGACATCATCCGTGGCATAGTGGAACAACAAGACAACCTCAAACCAGCAATGCAGCGATCGATGCTCTCATCCAACAAATCCTCCAGAAAGTTGCTCCAAAAAAAGGGTGTGGATGGCACGACTACAGTGAATGGGAATGCTCTGGCTGCTCCAGCTGGAGGGTATGTGGAGGCAGTCAACAGGCCAGGAGTCCTACCACACCTGGACCAGGGCTGGCAGGCTGTGGTGAGGCTGGAGCTGAAGGAAGTCTCCTACAAGTGTGTGAGGGAGTGCGAGAGGGAAATGGATGAGGCTTCGGAAGGCAACCTGCCAATGGAAGAGATAAATCTGTTCCGAATCCACCAACAAACACTGAAGAAAAGAAGAGCATTTTGAGAGAGGAAGTCTGTCGTGTTAACCCTCTCCACTCCAGTGATGAAGAAGTCAAGCCACTCCTGGACAAGCTAGAAAAGGATATTGTGCAGCTGAGTGGACAAAGCAATGGCGCGGAAGAGAAGGTCATCACAGGAGCCTTGTATCAATTCACCGAGCAAAATGCATCGGCATCAAAGAAGCACTGTGAAAAACTGCTTGCTGATCTTCTGGCTGAGAGCAAAGTCCAAGACAAGGTTCAAGAAACTATTAAGGACTCTATTCCTCTCGATATCCAAAGAGAAGCAAGTGGAATCACTACTGATTACCTCAGCCTTCCTGTAGGACCAGCTGCCAGTGAAGTCCTAGAGAGAGGACTGTCAGAACTAAATCAACTGTCAGATATACTCAAGACAATTCCAGGCCAGCCTCTGAATGTTAAAGTGATTGGAAGAGGGCACGATAGAATCAAGCTGAGCTGGGATCCTCCAGCATATAACCCAGAGGCAGTTGAAGAGTATGTGGTGTACAAGAAAGTTGAGGGTGGAGAATGGGAGGAGGCAGTCAGGACCAAGAAGACGAAGGTGTTGTTGAAGGGACTGAAATCACTGACCAAGCTCGGGTATATTGGGTTAGATGATATTGATTCGTACATGCTGGAATCAGACCGCAAATGTCAGTTTCAAGTAGTTGTTCTCAATAGCACCGTGACAAGTCTTACAAAAGAATATTATTTTTTTACAATGCTGAGGCTTCCCCTGCTGCAATGAAAGCTTTTGGTGTCACTACTGGTGTTGCTGGTTCATTCTGCCTGCCTCATGTCATAGGAAAGGCAATGGAGGGATTTGATTGGGAAGATGATTTTGAGTTAGCAGAAATGTCTGACTCTAAACGAAATTTCTTGATAGGACTAACTATTGCAGCTCTTCCTGTGAGCATTGCTTTGTCACCAATCACTGCACCTGTGTTGGCAATCGCTTCTACACAATCGGGACTAAAAAATCTTGAAGAGTGGGAGGGTGATGTATCAGATGATTGATTGTATTTGCTTTTAAAAGTGTTTGTTTTAAATCAGTGTGGAACTGCTTTAATGAAAAATAACCATTGCATATTATTGCCCTCGGTGTTATATGCAATTTTTTGTTTCTGTTTACTCAACATAGCTATATAATTTTGTATAGTATTGCAATGTATGTTTTCCCATTCCACATTCCAGTGTATCACTAGGTATAGATCTTGTGCTGCATGTATGGGGATCACAGTCCATTTGCCATTATGCTCATATGGTTGAGATTTTACTTTCAGTTTCAACTTCAGACATAGCTACCAGTCAGATTGTATGTTCAAAATATGTACCTAAGATTCTTTCAAGAAATAGCTTGCTACTCCAATACATTCTGGCCTTTTCATAGATGTTTTAGAAAACTGTATGAAGTCGCACACAAAATTGTATTGTGTAGTCGGTAATTGATTTATTTAGCGTTCAAAAATTCTTCTTGTTGTTATTAACCCTCGGCGCGCATGCGCAGCGAGGTTACATTAGTCGTTCTGTCTGTCTGTCTGTGTGTCCGCGCGAGTTCTAGAACTACAGGCTATACGAGGAGGCCAATGAGTGGCACCAACGGGTTGTGAATGATGAGAAGATTGATATTAATGTGGCGATTGTCCCGAACGACTGCATTCCAGAGATATGGCGAAAACAAGCGAAAAAACCAACGCGCGGTCGCGATCGCGCACGCGTCCTCTCCTAGCTGCAGGCTAGCTAATATATAGCGCGCATGCGTCATGTCGCCGGAGCATGCGCTACGCCACGTTGGTTATATACGATCCACGGCCTCCTGTCAATTTTGATCCCTGTTCCCTATGGAAACGATAAACATGCTGAGCAAGGTATGTTCGCAATGTAGCATAATAGTTCAGGTGGCGAGCAGTTTGTGGTTGCGGCCTTGCCTTCCCATCTATAAAACATCTGGCGAGAGCATTGAAACACAGAAGAGCGGATAGATTGAATAAAGCAAATATGAGAGCTTCTGAAACACCTGAGCTATTGCTCTAACCGCTAATGCAACTACCCTGTGTTACGGTGAGACTCGTGTTACTGGCTCGGTCGATGACGCATGGCCCAGCATACAGTGATGCTACAACTCGCTAGTTTGCCACCGAGGGTTTGCACTCTAATGCTTTACATTTTTTCAGTGTTAATGGTGCATCTCAAAAACCAGGTTAAGTACGGAGCAATACAGGACAAAACAAAATGTACTGAATAGTTTTCGGAATCATAAAACGAAGTCTAAATTATTGACATTAACAATACAAGTTTGTAAACAAAGAGCCTCGAGCAATAAGTGTTGTTTGTGCCTGTAACTTCCTTATACTGGTTCCTCTACCAAAGTAACTTTGTAAACCACAATACACTGCCCTAAGTTTGTCTATAAACAACACCAACAGGCATCAGGCAATATTAACTCATACTTTGTACCTATAACTTGCTTATGCTGGGTCCTCCAAAAAAACTTTTACACTTATACACTACGATAAAGTTCAAAAAGTTTGCAAACAACAAGGAGTGTGTGGTGAGCAAGAGAATTGAAGGTACTTGTGTGAAATCACACACCAAGCTTGAGTACGTATGATTCATATATACTGCAATCAGACCGCAAATGTGAGTTTCAAGTAGTTGCTCTCAATAGCACTGTGACAAGTCTGGCAAAAGAATATTATTCTTTGGCTGCTGAGGCTTCCCCTGCTGCAATGAAACCTTTTGGTGTCTGTTCTGGTGTAAATACCAGACTAAGAATGAGCTATAGAAAAACAGAACTGCATGTATCACAATAAAAGAAAGAATGTTGTTGTGTGTGTGTGTGTGTGCAAAGTATCATGTGTTTCTCTGTGATTGAAGTTCTTGTCCTGGTGTGTGTCAAAGGTTGCACTGACGAAAAATACACCTTTGCTCTGAAAAGGAAAAAGACAGGTGCAATAAAGTCAGGTTTTATTATTCATCAGAGAAGCAGGCAAGAAAGAAACTAGCCACGATGGTAGTTGTGATGCAGCTATTCAACAGTAGTTATTCTAATGTCTCACATCTCTCTTCTTCTTGTAGTGGATACCTGCCCACACAGCAACAAGGATAAGCAAGACCAGGAGAATAGCTCCTCATCCAGATGTTATAATCAAGTTGTAAGAGAAGGTAGAACTCGAAGCAAATCCATTAGTGTTGCTTTCTCCGCATGTGCATTTCCCAGTGCACTTACACAATGCATATTATGCCTTTGAGCCTAGTGTTTGTATATTAATGTTTTTCAATACGTTTCATAAGATTAGCACTGTAGCACTGGCGCGTACAGTTTTATTACTGGGTTACTCAGAATACTCTGTACATGTCACTCCCGATCTCATGTTTGGTAGCCTGAAAGAAAAGTGTGATGGGTTAAGAGTAAAATAGAAAGAAATCAATCTGGGGGTTCGAACAGTGCTTCCCGGGCAAGTGCCACTGTGCTATAGGTGAGCCACAGATGGGTTCTTTTGCTATATGACAGAGTACTCAGTGACTCCTATAAGCCGGCAAGATCATAGTGCAAAAACACTGGCACGGATAGCTTTCTTTACCAGGTTACTTCAGCACAAGTTCTTGTTGCTCTGTAGAATGCTGAGCTTAATTCTGTTGGTAGAGAAGGTTAAGTGATGAAAGCTGCATCTCTTCTCAACAGTGGGGCTGATATACAGACTAAGGGTGGAGTAAGTTCAATTTTAACCACTGACATGTTCACCTTCTTTATCAGTAATGGATGTGCACTGAATATGGTACTAATCATACTGTGTAGCTACTCAACCATCTAGCAAAGTTATTACATTGTTTCACTAAAATATGGCATGCTCTTGTGACACGTGCATATTTCTCATCAGGTGTGTATCTTAGTCTGAAGTCATACACAGAGCACAAACCCACCTTTTTATGTATCTTACCACCTACATACCTCTTTCTTATGTTTTACTGTAAGTGTGTTCAACCACAGGAAAAGAATAATAATGGAACTAGTCTTGTTAGTTCCACACATCATGATACTGCTGTCTTGGTTCTCATCAGCTGTCACGGACCCCATTGGACTGGACCAGTCGGTATGGTCATCTCCAAGTGGTTCGTCTTCTGATATCAAGAGGAGCTCAGCCCAACCACCAGGATGAAGTGAGTGAGACAGTTTCTGAGGGTGAACCCCTCCACTGATGATCATGTTATTACTAAGCAATACTTGCGCAGGTTGTACGGAAACGGGCACCACCAGAGTGAACGGTTCTCCGCAATTATGTGCAGTGGCATTTGGCTACCATGGTATAATACAGCTATGGCTGCCCACCAGAATTGCTGTAACTATTCTCTCATAATGCAGAGAAAAGGACAGTCAGCTCTCCACTTCTCTGCTGAGAGGGGAGACTCAGCTACCACAGAAGCACTGCTCAAGGCAGGAGCTAATCCTCACCTCAAAGACAAGGTTTGGGAATCTACAACGACCCTTACTTTCTTCTCCACCCGCCCACCTGGTCATTTAAGTATTGATCTATTTGTGAAGGGTGGTGTAACAGCAATGGAGATTAAAGCAGCAGTTAAATCTCGGCCTGTGTCCAAGAAAGTGGCAATGAGAGAGATGACTCTACCCAGCCATTATGCTAGTTGGGTACGCTATCACCTGATATCAGAGCACTACGTTAGTCTACGTACAAATGTCCCGTAAGAAAAGTATGCCCAAAGGGTGTATGGTGCCATATAAAATGATATCTAGGGATCAGGTCGACAGACATAGACTTGAACTACTCCTTACTAATCATAACCCATGCCATGTATATACTACTGTTGACTTCCATACAGTCTGCTGCAATTGGTCAGAGACATCTTAAGTCAGAGGGCAAAGAACCGGGAGATGACACCAGTTCCATGCTCAGACATCTCAAGTCACAGGGCAAAGAACCGGGAGATGACACCAGTTCCATGCTCAGACATCTCAAGTCACAGAGCAAAGAACCGGGAGATGACACCAGTTCCATGCTCAGACATCTCAAGTCACAGGGCAAAGAACCGGGAGATGACACCAGTTCCATGCTCAGACATCTCAAGTCACAGAGCAAAGAACCGGGAGATGACACCAGTTCCATGCTCAGACATCTCAAGTCACAGGACAAAGAACCGGGAGATGACACCAGTTCCATGCTAAGACATCTCAAGTCACAGAGCAAAGAACCGGGAGGAGATGACACCAGTTCCATGCTCAGACATCTCAAGTCACAGGGCAAAGAACCGGGAGATGACACCAGTTCCATGCTCAGACATCTCAAGTCACAGAGCAAAGAACCGGGAGATGACACCAGTTCCATGCTCAGACATCTCAAGTCACAGGGCAAAGAACCAGGAGATGACACCAGTTCCATGCTCAGACATCTCAAGTCACAGGGCAAAGAACCGGAAGATGACACCAGTTCCATGCTCAGACATCTCAAGTCACAGGGCAAACAACTGGGAGGAGATGACCCACGTTCCATGCTCAGAGGTCTCAAAGTTAGAGGGACAAGAGCTTGAGTCAAAGAACAGATATCCCACAGCAAGACAGCGGTCTCAAATCAGAAAGAAAATGACACTACAGATGGACCCTGAACGTAATCTAGACTAAAATTAGTGTACCTGTTCTTTCAATAATGTCAGGTCCAAAGTGGGTAGTGGGTTTATCCCCTCTCTTATTAAACAGAAAGCTTATGCCATAAACACATGGAACATGCACATAGTGTGTATTAATAAATGCGCCATTTTCTGATCACTATCAATGAGTGTTCAGAACCCCCAACATGCGTATTGTACATTGGCAGAACGGTGAGCAGGTGAGCAGAACGGTACTCACCTTACGCTTTCAGCTCGTTAGTCATGGTCCACCAGGCAACTGGCATGCAGCAGTATGTGCACGAGCAATCTTAGCGTATTTGCAAGTTGCACCTTGGAACCATGAAGATTGGGAAGAGGTATATACAGCCTCGGTCAGTCACCGAAGGTTGCAGCGCATGCCGTCGAATGGAGGAGAGTTCTCTAGCTGGCTATATAGATCGACCGGCGCATATCTCGATGCACCGTGTGTGGAAGCGCGTAAAAAGCCGCGCATGCGCACCTACACGACGTACGTACGGACGGCCGGTCGTAATTGGCGAGCGGGAGCTAGTGGTCCAAACGGCGCGATTTTTCTACGAGTAGGCGAATGCATGGCATTTTTGGCGAGCGGAAGCGAGCACACAATGACTATATCTGCATTAGCCACCTAGCCTATTTACAACTTGAACCTTAGAACCACGAAGATTGGAAAGAGGTATATACAGCCTCGGTCAGGTATTGAAGGCGCAGCGAATGCCAGCGAATAGACGAGAGTTCTTTGGCTGGCTATATTTCGCATCGATATTAGCGTGTAAAGAATATACGCGTTCCCTGCTCAGGAGTCTCACTGACACGATGTTCTCTTTCCCTCTCTCTTCGACGACGAATGGCATCCTTTCAGACCCATGCGAGAGTATGGAGCTACACACACGCACGACACATCAGGCAGCATGTGAAATTTTGAAATCATTTCGGAAAAAAAGAAGCGCGTAATCCTGGAGCATGCGCCCTTACACGACGTACGCGGTCGGTCGTATATAATGAGCGAGCCAACCTAGTCGTTCGTTCGTTCGAGCGGAATTTTCTGTATAAGAGGTACAGTAGTAGTACCTCGTACGTCGTGTAAGTGCGCATGCGCGGCTTTGTACGCGCTTCTTTTTATCCGAAACTGTTTCCAATTTTTTATACATTTTCGCACCCGGTGCCTTGCGATATGCACCAATCGATCTAGGCAGCTAGAGAACTCTCCTGCATTCGACGGCATGGGCTGCAACCTTCGTTGACTGACCGAGGCTGTACCTCTTCCCAATCTTCATGGTTCGAAGGTGCAACTTCATAATAAACTAGGCTTGCTCGTGCAGATACCTCTGCATGCCTGCTGCCTGGTGGACCACGACTGACGGGTTGAAAACGTAAGGTAAGTATATACCGTGCTGCTCACCTGCTCACCGTTCTGCCAATGTACAATACGCATGTAACGGCGACAGGTAGATCTGTCATGCTTCAGGAAAGGACAGCTGTGCGCTGACGGCACGTTATGCAGCCCGAACATCGCGAGCAAATCCCAAGTTGGGTCGCTCCCGCTCGCCAACAATGTTCAACATTTCCACTAGTAAATATTTAGAAAATCGCGCTGTTTGGACCACTGGGTTAGCTCGCTCCCGCTCGCCAATTTAATAATTATACGACCGTCCGTACGTCGTGCTATTGCGCATGTGTCAGAATTACGCGCTTCGAAATAATTATAAAATTTTTTAGTTTGAGACGCTCTTGCTGCTAGTTCGATGCCGAGCCAGGGAGAGAACCTTCGTCCGTTTGGCGGCATTCGCTGCACTCTTTGGTGCCTTACTGAGGCTTGCAATCTTCGTGGTTCCAAGCTGCAAGTTGTAAGTTGCCTAGGTTGGCTCGTGTGGATATGTGCTCGCTCCCGCTCGCCAAAAATGCCGTGCATTCGCCTACTAGTTATATAGAAAATTACGCTCGAACGAATGACTAGGTTGGCTCGCTCCCGCTCGCCAATTATTTGAGCTTTAGCTACAGTACACCAAAGAGAAGTGAGCCAGTGGGCATGATGGTATAGAATAATATTGTGTGAGTGATGTACTGAAGGTCTGATAGGAAGCACTAACAGCCTGCACAAAACAAGACACGAACTACAGTATAGAGTAAAACTAGTGGAAATGTTGAACATTGTTGGCGAGCGGGAGCGACCCAATTTGGGATTTGCCCGAGATGTTCGAGCTGCATAACGTGCTCCCTTACTAGTAAACACCCGATTTTGCACATCTGGAGGACACGTAGAGCCACTTGGAGCAAATTTCCAAGTGGTTTGGAACACTTGAGTGAGCTCTATATAGATAAAGACCCACCAATAGGGCTCTCCATAGTGTCCGCAGGAGTTATTGGCCAGTGACAGGACAGTGACCCAGGAACCTTCTCCTGTATAACGTGTCGTCAGCGCACAGCTTTCCTTTCTAGAAGCAAGACAGATCTACCTGTCGCTGTTACATGCGTATTGCACATTGGCAGAATGGTGAGCAGTAGAGCAGAACGGTACTTACCTTACGCTTTGAGCTCGTCAGTCGTGGTCCAGGACGCAGCTGCCATGCAGCAGTATGTACACGAGCAATCCTAGCGTATTTGCAAGTTGCACCTTGGAACCAAGAAGATTGGGAAGAGGTATAGCCTCGGTCAGTCACCGAAGGTTGCAGCGTATGCCGTCGAATGGAGGAGAGTTCTCTAGCTGGTTAGATCGATCGGCGCATACTGCGAGGCACCGCGTGTGAACATGTAGTTTCGGATAAAAAGAAGCGCGTACAAAGCCGCGCATGCGCACTTACACGACGTACGACGTACGATAAATAGAGAGTCGGTAGACTATCTATATAGCGATGAAATATCACGTGATCCGTGTACAAAACGACTAAAAGCTCGGTGAGAATCACTCGCTAGGCCTCCAAAACATACTAGCAATAGTCTACGGGCCCACATCTACCTATACATGTCCCCCAAGACCTCATACGGTGGAAGCGCTCTAGCTTTGCAACGGAGCATTTTCAGAGAAAACCGTTCGATGTACATGAGTGATGTAAAGTGTGCAAATGCTGGCAGCGGATAGCATGTAAGTGCACGTGACGAAGAGGGACCAACCCCACCACTGGTTGGTGAGGGCCACGACACACTGGTCTCCTGAGCGAGTGGTGACACTCCTCAGGTTCCTGGTAGAGGACAGCCTCTCCGCTGGCCACCATGTCTCCCTGGATCAGCTTCTTGGCCTCCTGCACCTTCTTCCCCGAGTGAGGCCCCACTAGCAGAACCTGTAGATTAGAGTAGTGAGTGCTGACTTAGACATACATAGGATATCATCATAATGCATTTATCTCTTATGGAGCACAAGTCTTGTGGATACATGTGGAATAACCTCTTTGGCTGGGCTATCAATATACATTTCACTCGTGGTCTCCCGCTAGTGGCTCTCAGAGAGTCTGACACAGGCTAGTTACAATTGTAGATAGCATGTGGGAGTCGATACATGCCCTTCGTTGTGACTTCTTGTGCCTTCAAGATACGAGTGAGCGGACCCGTTCAGGTAAGCCTGTGCTAATTAGCATATTGGCTTGCTCACTTGGTTTTCACGCTATAACTTTCGAACACAGCATTTTTACCAAAATCGCCATTTTAAAAATAAAGTCAGTGTGGCACTGAACCTGTTGGTATCGCTTTCTGACTGTTTTGTTGAGCGTAGCGGCAGAAAATGAGGTAACAGACAGACAGACGGAATGACAAACCAAGTACTATAACCCTCGCTGCAAATGCACACCAAGAGCTAATTACTCCCTTCCTTTCTCACTTACCCCCTCATAGAATCCCTTGAGGTAGGTCATCTCCTTTGCCTTCTCAAGTTGAGATTTGTCATTCTGTGATGACACCTAAAAATTAGGCAAATTATTTTATGTTAGGCTTTGCATGCTGGCCCCAACTAAACATTTAATCTTTTGTGAATTTTTTTTGGGTTTTAGGTTTTTCATGTTTGTTAACTACATACATGTTCGCAAAGCTTTATTGATGATATGCTGCTTTTACAAGATTCGTTAAATTGAAGTTTTCTATCCACACAGTATGCTCGAAGACAGTAATACATTGGTAGTGTGTACATACCTTGAACTGGTCACAGGCAGTGACAGCAGAGAGATTACCGATTCCTGGAATATCAATAATGGGGACCTGCAATCAGAGATTGCAGTGGTAATCACAGGGTTTTACCCTCACCCATTTATGTGTTGTACATATGAAATACTGCTCGTGGCTTACTGGTTTGTAGGGCAGAACCATTTCATCAGTTATGCCAAACTTGTCACGAAGAGCCTGCACATTACGATGGTAAGAAACATGAATGGTGTTAGCAAAGAGTTTGCGTATGACATTGTACCCACATCAATGGTGGTGGATAAAGAATAAGAATGGACACATTATACACACATGTATATACTACCTTCTTCTTTTGGACATCTCTAAGAGCAGCGTAGTCATCAGGAGCATCAGAGGGTACAGAGGTCACCACTCCAGTGCCTGTAGAGAGAAGAGGAGTAATCTTCGTAAATATTGAGATTATGACCTTTGTCCTCCTTGATGGTGAGCATTGGAAGAGTATAGATGACATCATATGATGTCAGAGGTGCTTTCAAAGCCACACCCATAAGCTCCTGTAGAAAAGCCACAAAGAAAGTTTATACATATGTCGTGTTTTAAGATAGTGTACTAAGAATACCCAGAAAGTTTAAACTAAGTATATACATATCACTGGAATGTTTGGTATAGTGTACTAGTAAGAATACAGTGAAACCCCTCTAATCCAAACACAAATATGACTGAACAGTGTCCATATTAGTGAGGTGTCCTTATTTCATCCCATGCACTCTTCTTGTGGAAACAATAATTGAAGGCTGCATCCTCATTTCAGTGGTGTGATAGAGCGGGGTTCCAAACCCTTGCTCTATCCATAACACACCAATCCTACATGTATAGCTCTATATACCTCTCCCTTCAGGCGCAGCAGGACTTGAGTTTTGCCATACTCGGAGGTGAAGTCCTGGTAGGCCATGTTGAGGGCAGCTCTGGTGGTGGATATGAACACCTCTCCTGTCTTGACGGGGAAGGCTATGTAGTTGATGTCTGGATGTAGCCAGCAGTTGGTCTGTCCGTGGAGAGAATATGGTGTGCTGGCAGTGGGTGCACAGTGGGTTAGAACCCTAGGATACCATGGATCTCCTTTAATATGTGTAAAGTATTAGTAGTTTACACATGTCGTGTCTGAAGAGATCGTCGCATTCAGAACCTCCACGGAAGAGACAGACACGCCTTGGCGAAGTATCTCTGCGAATGCTATGGACTATTGGACAAGCCTTGGGATAATTTTATCTGTTTGTACTGTGTATACTTACTCTGTGGCACCAATATTAACGCTCTTAATGTAGAGTGCACTAGGGAAGGATGGTGTATCAGTGAGCTGAGGGACTGTATATGCTGCGAGTTAAGATGCAGCACCTTTTGCCAACAACTTGATCTTTCCTCTCCTTGAGTTTGGTGAACTGCCACCTCACAAAGGAGTCGTAGTAGGAGGTTGCTAATCAGTTGTGTGATGAACGACCGTCTCCAGTCCACGTTACTACGACACACCACCACTCATCACTCATACATCAGTAGGTGACATACTAACGAGATCTCCAAAAGGTGTGTATAATTATTAACACAGGTTGAGGACTGACCCTAACTCCAGTGACTTGAGTCTTCCTTAGCAAGAGGAGGGAAGTACTCCAGCCAATGTTGAGGATCGTGAACCTGATCATTTGAGACACATGTATACACAAAGTCAAACACACACGCATACACACAACACATCTCCCACTCCTCTTTGTCAGGTAAATCCACTACTTCCGTATGTCATGGTCATGATCCCCAGACTCCTCATGATGTCCCACTGGTAGGTCATGTTCCCCGTCTTGGCCGCCACTTTACTCTTAGTCTGAGTGGACAAAAACCACTGATGAGATAGGCAGTATAATATTCAAACAAATCAACTACACCCAGAACACATCTTTTTTTCAAGGAAAAACAATCTGCCCTGGTAGGGATCGAACCCACGATACTATGCAGTCTAGGCTAGCAACTGAGCTACCAGGGCAACTCAGCCAAGTAGGGGTTCAAATAAACCTGCAACACAAGAAAAAGGCAAAGCTCAAACAACTATGCTGTACGCTATATTGGCTTAGATATCCAGCAAATAGAGTAGCATTGACAGCGGCTTATGTACATACAACATGAAGCAAATTGACTAAGTATTGAGAGAAATGACTTTTTGATACAACAGCAGAGGCAAAGGACCTTCTTGGCTCTCTTGGTGGGGTCAGCGGGGTCAGGACTCTCCTCCTCCTCCTCCCTCTCCTCCACATCTCCAGGGAAGACTGGGGGAAACCCAAACTGCTCCAACTCATTCTTCAACTTGTCTGCACACGCCTGGACAAGAGGGAACAAACAACTGTTAGAGCAGAGTATTAGCTGGTGAGAGAGAGGGAGAGTGTGTGTGTGACCTTGATGGGCATCCCAGTGCAGTGAAACAAAAGGAAAGAGACATCTCTTCCTTTAGCCTCTCATAGCCAACAGCAAACTGGAGGTGGGCGAATAAAGGCTTAATCTATGTTGAGAGCATTAGTCACCTCTTACCTCAGCCTAATGTGGTCACAATTTCAGGACATGAAAGAAAAGAGAAAACAAAAGTCTGCTCATCACAATTTGAAACTGTGGACTGTTACATACCTTGGAGATGGTAAAGGTGTGCCCTAAATGGAGTCTGCCATTCATGTAGGATATGGAAGGTAACAGGTACTTGTTCTCATGACTGGTGGACGTGTGGTGCACACAAACAAGGAACAGGAAGAAAGTGCATAACATATGTTAGATCACAAGCAATTCAAACCTGAACTCCTCTCCTGTTGCCTTCCTATGTGCACATGCATGCAAGAGACAAAAGTACAGCAGTTGTGTACATTGATCTTGGTATAGTGACCCCACATACCCACCTGAGGAGCATCCATCTGGAACACTCCCCCTCTCTCCCATCTCAACTGACACTCTCTCTCAATCTCCAGGAGAGTGTCTCTCTTCACAAACTGAACACGACAGTGACGTAAATCCAACCTTTACCCACACACAGTACACTTACCGACATGTCTGCAGACAGTCCTTCGGCTCTAGCTCTGGGATCGGAGGCTGCGCACGTGACCGAAGATGCGCGATGCGGCATCCATAACGTTCAGACTACGGAGATACGGCCGGCCTGAAGTCAGCTCGCGCTCCCCCTCGAAACCGTCTCCGGTCCAGCGCTCTACTCCCTCCTGACAAAGGGCAGCGGAGCAAAAGACAGGACGGCACCAGTACTACTCTTTAGTTTGACTGATCCCCTGTATGTGCAGGAGTGAGCGCGCGAGCCGAAATTTTGCGGTGATTTTTCAGTAGAAGGGCCGTGGCGCGTCTAGCTAATGCCCCACGGGTCAAACCAGCCAACACTGGTCAAGCCAGGCCAACACACCCTTGAGTAGAAAGGATTTAGGACTTGTACATAATGCTGCTGTATCCAGGCAAGAATAGTTACAAGATCCTTGCCTACAAATCGGAGTAGAGATCTGATGAAATTGAAGTATTGAAGGACAGTACGAGTGATCACGGATCTACCGTAGCAATACTGACTGCGGTACGTCTAAAGCAAGTAGGAAACCTCTCACATGAATGACATTGACGAAAGGTTTTCTGGGAAGAAGAGAGAAAAAGAGGGGATAGCAGGAAAGGAAGCTGCGGCTGTAGACCATACTTCAGACAGTACTCACGAAGACCCTGAAGATGAAGAATGGGATTCAGATGATAGGAGTGAGGACGAAGAAGACAGAGACTCAGAACAAGTGTACTCAAATGAAGAGGAGGGAACTGAAGCAGATGATGAGTCCTTTGCTGCCACTAGTGAAGATGAAGTTCAGGGAAAAAACGGAAAATCATTGAAAAGGACGATAATTGCAGATAGAAAAGAAAGACAAGAAAGCACAGCAGGAAAAGGTAAAGAAGAAAAAAGAGGGTGCGTATCACCAGCAGGTTCACTTGGGGAGAATGAGTCATTAGATCCTGGTTGTTATAGAAAAGACCAGGAGAAAAAGTCAAAGAAAAGAGAGCTATCAGATCCAGGCAAGGACCAAGAGGAACGCGAAATCCAGTCAAAGAAAAGGAGCAGGAAAAAGCACAGGGAGAGTAGCATGAGCCCCATGCCCAGAGGTAGCTCCTCCCCCTCCACTTCACAAGAAGAGAACAAAAACAAACATGCCCCTAGTGGGCATAGCCGTGAAAGTGGTTGTGGAAAAAAGAAGAGAGAAAAAGAAAAAGAGAGTGTTCCTAGCTCCTCTGGGACTGATGACTCCTCACCAGAATGTGATATAGTAAGGAGTCTATCTGAATCCGAGACTAAAAATCTCAGAAAACTCTTCAGATGTTTTTTTGGCAAACTCTGCTGTGGTATAAGAGACCCAGTTGAAACAGCCGCTCAGCTGCAGGCAGAACGTCTGCTATCCCGTTCAGCAATGGAGAACATGATTATATCTCCTGAGTCACAGCAAGTGAAGGCCATAGCTTTAGTTCGGGCACTTGGCAAGAAGTTAAAAGTCCCATCCTGACAGGATCTTCACTGTCATTGGAGTGTTAATACACGATGAAGGACTCCGAGAAACTGGCAGAAAAATGTGTAAAGCAGCAGGTAATATCCTTTTGTATGCCTGTGTCCTAAATTTATTCACTGATGCCTTTGCAGCAAAAATTTGTCCAGGGAGAATATCGGTCTCTATATTTGGGAAGGAGCTACCATCTTCTGAGAAACCTTTACCACTAGGAAATCCAATTTGCGGTAAAAATTGAAATTTTCCCATTGCACACTTGTTTTATACGCTTTTTTCTTATACAGGAGACGAAAGTGAGATAATGCCAACCACAGCTAAGAAAGAAACACTACCTATCACCTCCCTCACTAAAGGTGACAGTGGTACGGCATTATCCACTGCTGTAAGTCAATCTGTACAAAGTTCAGATATATTGACGAAGTATAAGCAGTACTTGCAGTCTTGTTACAATGCTAGAGCCCTAGCTCAAGCAGACAAGTACCTTCCCACCCTAGACGCTCCCTACATTAATCTTGCCATGATTAGAAGGGGACAACCCTATAATCCTAAACAAAGAGATGAGTTTACCAGGAGAACACTGCATGGAGGAGTAGACCAGATTCTTCAGAGTAAGACACCTATCAACATTGAAGACCTGCTGACTCCAGAAAACAGTGGTAGGCCAGTCAGGTTCATTCTGGTAGAAGGTCCTCCAGGAATTGGTAAGAGTACCTTTGCCTGGGAGGCATGTAGGAGATGGGATGAGATAGAAAGCCTCAGACAGTACCATACTGTGGTTCTGCTCAAGTTGAGGGAAAAGTGGGTCTTAAATGCCACACAACCTTCCGATCTCTTCAGGTTTCCACCCAAGCCCGAATTGAGTACTAATATTGCAGAAGCACTTAACAAATCGCATGGCCACAATCTGTTACTGGTTTTAGATGGGTTTGACGAAGTCTCTCACAGTTTCCATAAAAACTCTGTCATAAAAAGCATTCTGTGTAGGCAGCTCTTACCCAAATCTACCATTATTCTCACTACTAGACCAGTGGCCAAGAACACACTTAGAAGTATCTGCCAGCCTCGAGTTGATAAACATGTAGAAATCATTGGGTTCACAGAGGAAGAGAGAGTGAGGTATATCACTGAGGTCTTTAGCAAGGAACCAGAGCTTCAGATGAATTTCTTAAAGTACATGTTTCATGTCCCTCACATAAAGTCAATGATGTACATTCCGCTCAACTGTGCCATTATAGCACAAGTCTATTTCGAGTCTCAGATAAATTGCCAACTTACTATTCCAAAAACTAAATCACAGCTGTACAAGGCACTCACTCATTCTCTTATTACTCGACACATGAAAATGAAGGAACAAAATTATGAGTACTCATCTATGTTTCCAGAAGGTCTCAACGAAGAAGATATGAAAAACTTTAAGACTTTGGCAAAGTTCGCTTTTTATAGCTATCATGGATTGAAAGTCAAACAAGAGGATATCCAGCAGATATTAGGTCGATCAAGAAAAGAACTAAGTGTATCTGAATTAAGGAAGGTAACATTTTTCAAGGAGGATATCCCTGAAGGATTCATTCATTTTGGTTTTATGAATGAGTCCACTGAAATGTATGCAGGCAAAGGAGTGGAGGAAACATTCTCATTTCTCCATCTCAGCCTACAGGAATACCTGGCAGCTTGGCACTTGGCTAAGAGCTACAGCACTGAGTTTCAGGTGGCTTATCATAAGATGGTTGTTAAATCTGGCTCGTATGGAAGCCTACGTGCCACTCGTGAATACAAAGGTGATAACAGAGAGGAAAAAGCTCTCATATCTTCACTAGAATCACTAGGGGAGTCACTAGAGGAACCAGCCATATTCCTGGCTGGTATCACTGGCATGAGATGCCAGTCAGAGAATGTCAGGAACCACTGGGAAATGAGTCTCAGTCTTGACATTTTAAGTATTCAGGGTAGCAGAATGCTATTGTTGCGTTCTCTCTATGAAGCTCAGAACCAAACCATGAGACATCATATCTACATTAATACAATTAATATTGGCTTATCAATTCAAACACCATATGACTGCTATGCTCTATCATACTGTGTATCCCACCAGGACCAGTTCGACCTAGCTGTTTCTATCAAGAATGATGATGATGTGTCACTTTTGGAAACATTTGTAAAAGGTCTTGAGGACCACTGCAAATATACCAAACCTACAATTAAGTTTCTTAGGTTAATGGGCGATTATGTGATAAAAGCATTCAGAAGATGTATATATTGGTTGAATAAAGTTGACTTAGATACATTTTGCTTGAAATCCACGGTTTTGAAATATGCTATTGATCACAATCTTCTACAGTCACTCGTCAAATTTGAATCACTTGAGATCAATAATAGGGACCTTAGATCTTGGGAGTGGCTTCCTTCACTGAAGTCTCTCACTGAACTGAAAGCTTTGAGGATTACTAACCGTGGCAGTAGGTACATGAGTCCTCCACCGACTGAGGCTCTTGAGGGTTTTTGTTGGCTATTGGAACATAGACTGACAGAAATGACACTACTTGATCTTCACACTTCAACGGATGCCCTGGACCCCCTGGTTGACTCTGTATTGAAATCAGCTCTGAAGTCAAAGCAAATCACTACGCTGGGGTTGCCCAACATATCTTGTGAGAACATGGCTGGTGTCCATAGTATCCTACTACACTGTCCCAGTCTTACCACATTGAGACTGGCGGATACCAGACTGGGCTATGATGGAATCCTCTACATATGTAGTGCACTCAGATTACACTACATAAGACATCTTGTGATATGTGGAGGACGTGCAGAGGCCACATACCATACAGGTTAGGTAGAGGCAATACTATCGTCCATGAAAAGAGTTCCTCTGCCAGGTAAGGCTACCTGCACTGACTTCCTTCTAGAACTAAAACCACATTCTCAAGGACAACACTACCTGGAAGAGATAAAGATCCAGTCTGGATTATTCCTCCCTCTCTCTGCTGGTGAGGATGGGGAAATACTACCAGTGGACAGGGACTTGGGCCTCTTCAACAGTTCAATGTGGGGGCTGTCCGTAGTGCATGTCTCCTAATCTCAGGAGTCATTCTCATCATCAGACCTGACCTCAGCCTCAGACTCAACTCTTCTGAGGGACAGACAGTTCTGGTCCAGCAACGAAGAGCAGGAAGAGCAGATAGAACAGAAAGAAATTGGATTCAAGAAGCTGTTTTCCAGGAGGAAGGAGAAGGGGAAAACCATTATCTCCCTTCCCTCATTCACTGCTCCAGACCTGAAGTTCTACAGTCATTCTGGTCTAGGACCCCCGTCTCAAGGATGTCTGGCGATATCTGAACTCGATGAGTAGTGAAGAATGCAGGGATACTTATTCGAGAATGTGTTTTTTCAGATTATACCTACCGGTATGACCTGATCCAACTGGCAACATTAACCGAAAACAGAAAGTGATAACATTGTAGTTGAACCCTCGGCGCGCATGCGCAGCGAGGTACTGTAGTTGGTTGTCTGTCTGTCTGTTACTCTCAATCTCACTTCTAGAAGTCTGTTCGTCTCGCAAACGATATGACCTACTTAACGGGCAATGAAGGTCAGAAATTTCGAACGGTTTTCTCTGAAAATGCTCCGTTGCAAAGCTAGAGCGCTTCCACATTGTATGGCTAATGCCGGTAGTCGCCATTTTATCGCTGGCGGATAATGCGCATGCGCTTATATTTAGCAAAGGACCGGGTCCGCTTGCTCCTTCTATCTTGAAGGCACAAGAAGTCACAACGAATGGCGTGTATCGACTCTCGCGTGCTATCTACTACTGTAGCTGGCCCGTGTCAGACTCTCTGCGAGCTACTTCGCCGAGGGTTTGCACTTTAGTGCTTTTCATACCTTCGGCGCGCATGCGCAGCGAGGGTACTATAGTTGGGTTTGTCTGTGTCTGTCTGTTACTCTCAATCTCACTTCTGGAGTGTCTGTTCGTCTCACAAAGGATACAACCTATCTAACGGGCAATGAAGGTCAGAAATTTCGAACGGTTTTCTCTGAAAATGCTCCGTTGCAGAGCTAGAGCGCTTCCGCCATTGTACGGCTAATGCTAGTCGGCCATTTTTATCGCTGCGGAAAATGCGCATGCGCTTATATTTTGAACAGGCTCGGGTCCGCTTGCTCTGTGTATCTTGAAGGCACGAAAAGTCACAACGAAGGGCGTGTATCGACTCCCACATGCTATCTACTACTGTAACTAGCCCGTGTCAGACGCTACTAGCGGAAGACCACGAGTATACTACATACTAATAGCAGCCCAGCCCACCAATTAGCGGTGCCGAGGGTTTGCACTTTAGTGCTTTTCATTGGGTTTGTCTGTGTGTTGTCTGTCTGTTACTCTACATCTCACCTCTGGAATGTCTGTTCGTCCCAGAAACGATACCATCTACCAAACGGGCGACGAAGGTCAGAAAATATGTGGGGTTTTCTCTCCGTTACAGAGCTAGAGCGCTTCCAGCATTGTATGGCTAATGCCGGTAGTCGCCATTTTATCGCTGGCGGATAATGCGCATGCGCTTATATTTAGCACAGGCTTACCTTGACGGGGTCCGCTTGCTCTGCCTGTCTTGAAGGCACAAGAAGTCACAACGAATGGCGTGTATCGACTCTCGCGTGCTATCTACTACTGTAGCTAGCCCGTGTCAGGACTCTCTGCGAGCGTACTTCGCCAAGGGTTTGCACTTTAGTGCTTTTCATTTACTCAATTAACACTGCCCAGCTACTTAGATGCACTTGGGTGCGAATCGAGAATAATTCATTTTGAGTCGTCCTCAATTATATATCTGTCCGAGGTGCGAAACAACCAGGGGGTAACAGTAAACATAGACTTTAAAATAATATCAGCAAACAGCAGATGTTACTTGTGATTTCAACACAATCTCTGCATCGTCCTATATCAATTAACCTCCTTGCTTAGCTGTAGCACACATGCATTTGTAGGTGTTATGTCATTATAGTACAAACCATAGAAAACACGCACGAGACACAAACAGCAGAAGTTGACTCTAGGTGTCAAGAGCCTACAATGTAGTCAGTGAGTTGTGTCCTGGCTCTGTGGAGCAGGCAGGGAGTGACAGCCTCCAGGAGATTGAGACTGGGGTCCAGGGACCTCCCCAGTCCATCTATCACCATGATGGCCATCACCACTGACGTGTAGTTGGGCTCTATTCGAACCTGGCCATGGATACAGTGAGACACCTGATAAGGGACACTCTGAGATACTCTACAAAGGACACTAGTTTCAACCCCATGCTGATACTTAGTGTATTATTTGATGATAGGGACATCCTCTCCACAAGGGACAAAATTGTCGGTCTCATAGTGCCCCTTGCTCAGAGGTACCACTGTATGTCCTACCCTGGTGGGGGGCATTAATAGGGAGTAACATACCTTGTGTTTCATGAGCACATCAAATAGCTCGGAGAATAGGTTAGACACCTTCACCTGTCAAAAAGGCAGATATGTGAGACACCACCAAATGTAGGTAGCTACAGTCATCAATGTAACTACAGAGAAACCTCTCAGTAAGGGACACCTTGGAGACATTGAAAGTGTCATTTATTCAGAGACATCCTTCATTCGGAGGTACTATAATACAGTAATGTATTAGTATGGGTCAGAACCAAGTGTCCCTTATAGAGAGGTGTCCTTCATTCAGAGACATCCTTCATTCGGAGGTACTATAATACAGTAATGTATTAGTATGGGTCAGAACCAAGTGTCCCTTATAGAGAGGTGTCCTTCATTCAGAGACATCCTTCATTCGGAGTTACTATAATACACTAATGTAGTAGTATGGATCAGAACCAAGTGTCCCTTATAGAGAGGTGTCCTTCATTCAGAGACATCCTTCATTCGGAGTTGCTATAATACACTAATGTAGTAGTATGGGGCAGAAGCAAGCGTCCCTTATAGAGAGGTGTCCTTTATTCAGAGGTTTCACTGTATTATTTTCAGTGAGTGTATCTTATGAACATTCTGAATGCGAGTGAGTCCCTGGAGTCGCTGTGAGACCAGTTCAGGCCATGTTCCTGCGGTACTCCTCCACTGTGGGGCAGGGCTGGGACCCAGCATCAGGTCTGCCACTTGTACTGCCATGTCACACAACATTATGATATGAGGAGGTTACATGCATGCAAGGAACTGTTCTTGTGGGGGAAGAAAAGGTGTCTTACAAGAAAGGCGTCCTGGTTTTGGGGTGTCCTAAGTGTTTGCCGATGAGAGTGAACTAAAAAGGGAATATGGCAGTATATACATAAGGGCTAAGGACCCAGTGCAAGAATGAGATTTATTTTGCTAACTAGCCAACGTACTGTCACAATCCTTTTCAAGACTAACATACCACTGAATGCAATTATGTTCCGTAAAACTTAGCCAATGTACTGTCACATACACATAAAATGCTGCTCAATCACATCTCCCTTGACGATGGCGTGAAGAGAGCCTCATCTGGAGTAGGTCAAAGGGCGTGAGACTGGTGGCGATACCACAGTCCAGGAGGACCAGCGAGGCTGGTGTGTGTCCTGGACCAGGATATTGCCAGGATGGAGGTCTCCATGGACAAGTGTGGATGACAACTGTCAACAAAACAACCAAGAAACAGAGAGAGATAGAGAGAGGAACCATTTATACATTTTGCGTCCCACACATAATAGTTGTATACGCAATGTTTTTCTTTCTGTGTTGGGTCCTATTCGTGTAGCTGTAGGACTACAAACGAATGTTCACTCACTCACTCACCTAAACACTAATACAGAGGGGAGTGTTGTAGTGGGTGGCAAGTAAACGGCGGCTAGAGTGCCATGAATGTGTCAGTCACCCACCCATATAACACTAGGACAAGGGGGATGTTTTCGTAAATGGGGGCTAAGTGCCACAGTCAGTAAAATTACTGCACAAACTCTACAATCTGCTGGCTATACTATAATATGGCACTCACTCATTCACTCACTGGAAGATGGGAGTTTCATATACAGTAAGTAAATCTCCTCTCGCGAGTTCCAAGCCCACACTACACACATGGTATATATATCTGCTGGTGGGTTCTGTACCATGGCCAGGAGGGCATCGGTGCCAATCCTGGCCAGCGTTCTTCTGCAGCTGTCTCCCGGCGTTGTCCATGATATCTAGAGATGTAGACACTACCAGGCTATGGGGATAGGCAGAGAAGAGGTCAAAATGCCCTCTCAAAACCTTTCCCTACCTCCAAGGTCTCCACCCGGACTCTCTGGTGACGTAGGGGAGGAGCGGGAGTGGGAATTTGATGTTCTCATCGGCTCCTGATCTGCCTGGAACCTTCGCAGGTGACGCCTCGAGCTCCATGTCAGCTAATAATATAGACACACACAAGTACATGACACCTGTGTACATCACGTGGTGACACATGCATAACTATATGTAGCAGGCTGTACTCGTAAGATACTGTATGGAACTACTTGGTCTGACCATACTGAAGTGAGAACATTTGCCTTGCGGACTCAGCTTAAAAAATGACTAAAGAGTGCACCGCTGTTTTACTCATGACGATGGAGACTCGCTGAAGAGCCATCCTTGAGGGCCACCAGTGGACGTCAGGGTGTGGAGCCAGTCCAGCCAGTAGGCAGCGGACCTCATCATCAGGAACATGTCTCTCTCCATTGCCTGGACACCGTGCCAGGGTGCAGGGTTGCAGCACTTGATTGCCCTGGCGTCTCTTTCTCTCTCACCTCTCCTTCCATTCCACATCTCTGACTTTGCCATAACCAGGAGTCTAGTCGAGAGAAGAAACAAACCACCTCTTACGTCCTTCTACGCACCTTCTCCATCTCTCTTGTCTTCCTCGGCAATAGATGGAGCTGTCAGTCTTGTTTTGAGGGTTCCATTGTAGACCTGAGCCACACACCCCGAGCCAATTGGCTCGCTCGTGGAGATCTCCAGAACCTCTCTCCACATCTTCCCCAAACTCTTCTCCATGGTCTGGAGTGTGTCCTGCCATCTGTGGGCCCGGCAGCGGTGTGCAGCTGCGACAGAGCAGTTGGCAGAACTCCTCGGAGAAGAGATCTCGGCGAGTGCTCGCCCACTGGCCCAGTTTCATGAGGCCGGACCGGCCGTCTGTACAGCTCTCATGGTGTAAGTCCAGGCCATTCTCTCGATCCGTGCCCGAACGGAGGAGTCGACTCACGCGTACATGACCAGAGCTGGACTGAAGAGGCAGGTGAGGTAGATGGAGCGAAGGATCACGTAGATTTTCTCTCTCAGAGTAAACTGGCTGAAGGTGGCATTGCAGTAGGGTGGACTGGTCGGCACGTGGACTTGATACCCAGTATCATCTTGTGCCAGAGTCTTGCAACAGGGAGGAAGAGGGGGTGGTTCTTCTAGCAAGAGCAATTCCTCCTAGCACGCCTGCAGACAGCGTCCAGCAGTGGCCATCTCTTCCAGTTTCGTGGAAATAACCTCAGCAGGGAAACTTTGCTGGACTGGAAACAGCTCTGGTGGAACCTGCCGATATTCCCGATGTTCTATAGGACCTCGGGGACACTATGGAGCCTCGTAGGCAAGGCGTGCGGAAGTCGGAGAATGTAGGAGAGGTCGAAGTAGGAGGGTGAAGCTCTCCACCGACTGAAACGCATCAGAGCGTAGCCAGCAAACATGGCGTCTCCTGAACACTATCTGCAACAGACGGTACACAGATCGGGACGCTAGTGGACGCTAAACTGACGCTAGGTGTGTAGCAACCAGAGGCATACCGCCCAGACAGCTAATGTGCGTGAGAGTTTTCAGTATCGATGCGTCCATCTACCTGAGAAACTGTCATAGTCACACAGTGTCTTTGCCTATACAGTGAGGGAGCCACAGTCAGACTCAGCGATGCATAGAGGCTCAGCATGGCCAGCTTATGCAATGCAACTTTCTCCAAATAACGCGCAGGCCTAATATCCGGTTACCTGTAAATTCTTACTGCTATGGTTTTCCGGAAGACACGGGTGTCTTACTGCTGTTTTCTGTTCTCCTCTAAAAGCTACCTAATCAATGGCTCGCCATTTTGAAGAAGACTTCAAGTTTGTCAGCCGTGAGTTACGAGTGTTTACACTCCAGTGAATGACTGTATTGAGTAGCTACACTTAGTTGCAATGGAGAAGATTGTGTAAACAACGGTGACCGTAATCCATTTTGCACACTCATTAGCTAGCTACCTTCCCTCCCGTGGCTTGTGTGTATATCTACGGGGAGATGATTGGTCGTGCGTTAGTTCTCGTAGAGAGTCATGGACCTAGCTCGTCGCTTTGGCACAGAGGCGCTTACCTCTTCCACACGTATGTGCGTAGAGCTAGAGCCACGTACATAGAACAGTGGATCCAGCTGACTGAACACGTGGTTAACAATAGAGTGCACGGAGTTGTGTAGAAGGGTCAAGTCATGTAGCTATACACACTGCACTGCTCCTTCAAGTGCAGTGTGACCATCTCGGAAGGGGGTGAACTTTGTTACGATGTGTCCTACACTTTCTCGTTCTCATCTTGTTAGGTCCTGAGACCTGAGGGCCACCAGCGAAGACATATATGCTGCCTGTCGAGATGGAGACGAGATGTTCTGCAAGGAATGGTGCATGAGTCCAGACCACGACCCTCAACATCACGTAATACACAGCACTGTGTGCTAGCACTTGTGTGTGTGTGTGTGTTTTGTGTAACCTACGTGTATGAAAAGCCAGCTACATAATGGGCATAGTTTACATAGGCTGACTAACTATACATGGACGTAGGAGAGCGGTAAAATGCATGCTGGTCACGTATCCATGTATTGATGTGGATGGGGTCTGAGGTTTGTCCTAATCTAGAGACGTGGCAGGGATCCAGGTGGGATTATCTGTGCCACTGGCCACGTCACATAACATACATGTTGCTTCAAAACTGAGGCGTGGTTCACAAGTTAACCCTCTGGCAAGTGCTTACACACATACACCCAGGATAAAAAAACAAAAACAGTATTTCGGTGGGAGGTGCATAAGTAGACATAGCCGGAAGTGTCTACACGTTAAAATGCAAGTCTAAGATACAGGCTATCAATTGTGTGGAGGCAAAAAATCATTAGGCCTAGAAGTATGCTGTAATTTATGGTAAACATCTGGCAGAAGAGTTGGTAAATTTGAGTAGAGAGAAACCTTGCGCCCTTGTACATTAGGATATATACAGCCTGAACCCTCACTTTGAGCTAATGTCAGTGTTGATTTTCCACTGCAGAGACCAACATGGGTTCACTCCATGCACTATGCCACCATGCACGGCAACACTGGTATAATTGACGTGTTTGTCAATCGCGGGGCTCGAGTTGACATCGTCAACATGGGTGGAGACACGCTGCTAGCACATTGCCGCTGCCTACGGCAAGTATGACATCGTCCAGAAAGGTAAACACATCACAGTATAAGGCAACTGTAACGAAGTTTGGTTTGTGTATGCTTGATTTTTTGACATTAAGTTTTGGCACCCGAGGGTTGTTGATCATTACAGTGAGAGATGTTTGGGAGTTTGTGACATGTGTAGGATAACGCCCATTCTGATAAATACGTAGTAGCGTGCTAAATATCTGTGAGGAGAGCAAATTGGCCACTTGAATGTTTGTGTGTTGTGTTCCTAACATAGTAAGGCTGTGAGAGGCGGCCAAGTGGCAGTAGTGAATGAGCCAATATAACATCAGTGATGTTCATAACCTTATTTGATGGCCAAAATTTATACAAAGAATATGACTCATACAAATCTTTTCCCAAACTGTATGTATACCCGTGTATATACCAATAGTATAATATTTCAGAAGGCACTAAGACTTTCTGACAAAGGGAGTTTCAGCCTTCTCTTTACCTCTACCCTTTCCCCTCCCCCACTTTCCCTCCCTTCCTCCCTTCCTCCCTACCTTCCTCCCTCCCTCCCTTTCCTCTCTCCCTGTCCTCCCCCTTCCTTCTCTCCCTTCCTTCTCTCACGATATTGTGAACTCTAGTTGCTGAAGATGCGTGCAGATGTGGACTGTGCCAATGAACATGGCAACACTTCCCTGCACTATGCCTCCTTCTGGATTTCATTGGAATATGTGAGTATGGACTGATCTGTGACCTCAACATCCAGTACAAGTGTGTGTGGATCCCATTATGTAGTATGTGTGGACACACAAGTATTGTTGTTCTTCATTCTTGAAAGCTCTATGCTAAAGTACTTGTCGGGCCTTTATGTGGTGACTTGTAGGCAAAAAATAGTGAATGTGGACCATTTGCTAACTATACATTAATAGTTACTACACATACCCACAGATCTTGGTGAAGCACGGAGCTCTGGTGGCATGTCTAATAAGTACGGGGACACCCCCACTATCAAAGGCTCGTCCTCGCCTCAGGAAGAAGCTGGAAGGTGTGGCAGTTCTAATGTGTATACTACCATGACAATCATTGTGTGTGTGTATGGTGTCTTTGTATTGCAGCTATGGCATCTGAGTTGGTCAGAGTCTGGTTATCGTCCCTCACAAGAGTAAGTCTATATTTCTGTACTTACCTGACTATGCCTTACCATTGTTTTTGCTCACGTAGAACAAACTTGGGAAGAAGGAATGACTGTAAGTTAAGCCC